GATGTGAGACTTTGCCTTGCTCATAGATAACATTCATCATGTGAGCTTCTTTATCTTTGATTACCTCTGTTTTCACCTAGAGTAGACGTTGACCCTTGACTTGCAAGTCAGTATTTAAGTGATGCAAATATGATTTAATGTGTTTTGAGTTGACTGACCTTGATCTTTAATACTAAATTGATATGTGATATGCAGGACACATAATTAGTTTATCATTAGTATGTAGGTAATATATCACTGCACACAATAATCATAAGATTTTTTTATCATTTAAATTATGAATAAGCTTAGCAATCCGGGCATACCATCTCTTGCTCGCAGTTTCTTGTTAAGATTGGCTTTACAAGTACACTTTACATTTGCTGTTCAATCTTTTTTCTACCCTTTGCACAGGAGTTCAATATATTCATGACCTTTATAGGATCATCCTCATGATGATGCATTTAAGGAGTAACTGTCTAGTTGTTTGGTTTTATGATTTGATCAATCAGTTTGCAATTTGCATAAAAGCTGAAGGCATTTATGCATTAAATTATTACTTGTGCAAACTGATTCAGAATCAGAAAATTTTATTTAAAGTCGGATCTTCAAACAAATAACATAAGCTCTGTAGAGCTTTTGACAGACATGGATTGATCATTATCATAAAAACCCCAAACCAGACAATTTTTCCTTATATTTACATTTTCACATGATCCTTGATTCAATAAGAAAAATATTTTTATCCAATAATGAAAAATCTCTGCAGGCCCCACCCAGTGTATTACTAATCAACACACAGCAAGAAAGCATGGAGTTTTGTCATGTGCTGAGCAATTAGCGCTTTATGAGGACATGAAGCTATTACCTTATTTGTAGTTTTATCTCGGACACATTTGAAAATGTAAATATTAATCATTATAAGCTTGCAGCATGCACATTTAACAAAGAAAATTGTGGAATAATAATATGATGGTGATGATATTATTTGTTTGCACTATATAACTTGAAACCTCTCTTATCGATATTTAGACCTATGCATTATATTCAGATAAACTTATATGTGTCAAAAATTTCCCAATCTTTGGCATTTAAAATTATAGATTGCTTTTATTGCTTTGCAGTTAGATTTGCTGCTTATTGTATAATTATTTATATCTTGTTGCTCCACATGAGCAATTTAAGGTGATATGCCAAGTGATTTTGCAGACTGCTTTGTCTTTTATAAAATGTTTACTTTGTGATGCATTGTAGATCTGTGTAATCATGCAATGAAAATAATTCTTTTCTTGGCCATATTAGGGCCTAATGTTAAGGTTTTCAGCAGACTGAAATGAATGTTAATTGTTACAGCATAAAATTTTGTTTCAAAAATTAAAGCAGTATAATAGTCCATCATAAAATATTTTTCAGTGGACAAATATTGAATGATAATATATGCTTTTGTATTTTTAGTTTCTGCAGTGTCATTAAACAATGAAAAGCATAATGTATATATATATACCTTGTTTACATAGATTTTTATCTTTTACACAAGAATGAAAAAATCAGTATGCAATTATTCTTTCAGATATAGAGCATAACAACTATTATTGATTCTGATTATATCCATGCACTTAGTATCATATTTTATGACAAACACTCTTTGAATGAACTGCTTACAGCAATTAAGTATCAATTTTTGTCATAAAGTAGAACAAAGTTATGAAATACTGAAAGTGTACTTGTACATGTACATGTATCACACTTGCAAACGATTTAACCCTGTTTCAAAGTTGTGTTAAAAGATAGACAACTCCTTTTCTGATGAGTATTTCTCTGTTTTAAATTTATCCACTTATGACAAGGATGAAAGGGGTCAAAATAAAATGGGGGCAAACATTTCCCTGTATATAAGCAGTGATTAAGACTCAGTTTGAGAATTTTATCTGCTAAGTATCTGAAGTTGTTTGCTTTGGTGAACAATGTGTGCAATTAGGATACATGTCCTATTGTTTGATATCAATGAAAATGTACTTTTGTAATGGCATAAATTTGTACACTAAATTATGACAGGGTAATGCTAAAATTCCATAAAATTTGCAAAATAATACCTTTCTACCTTTTTTTTGTGTAAATATAGTACATGTACAGTCCCTGAAACGTTCTACTTTCCCACTTGAACGGTGAGCGAACGCTGAACGAACGGTGAACGAACGCTGAACGAACGCAGAGCGAACGGTGAGTGAACGATGTGTGAACGCTGAACGCAACTTGGTGAACGATGTGTGAACGCTGAACGGTGAGCGAACGCAGAACGCGAACGGAGCGCAAACGCGAACGCAAAGTGAGCGGTGAACGAACGGTGAACGCAAGATGAACGATATATTCGGAATGCCTCTGATCTTTTCCTTGCATTGAAACTATTTTATTGTTTTATGTCAAGTGCCAAAAAATAAAAAAAATAAATCAATAATAAATAAGTAAACCAATAAATGAATGAATAAATAAGTCAATAATATAAATTCTCCAAAATTGTCCTGAGAAAGACGATGCATACATATTAAGTTTTTAATCACACGATTTTTATCACATTAAAACATTGCAATTGTTGCCGAACGCTGAAGTATAAGAGATATTTTTTAGTTGGAAAATAAAAATGTTTGTTCTTATTTGATAACAAATCAGAGAAAACTTCTGACTTATAGAATGAATTAAAGTGGTTGTAACATCCATTCATATATCTCCGTGTTAAGGCGATTTCGTGTAAAGAAATGAAAAAAAAAAAAATTACATAGGTCAGTGGACGTTTTGCATTTATACGCTCGTATTTTAAATTTTTAATACAATAATATATTATGTGTCATTTCTATTTTACATGATAATTTATCAGGCCCATAGGAAGCAAATTCGGTTTGGGGGGGGGGGGGGGGGGGGGACGGCACAGCCATACATTTTCAGTTGATAGTTGAAGGGGGCACTACCAAAAATTTCCTGACAAGCAAAAAAAAAAAAAAAAGATCATCAGACTTTTTATTGCGGGGGCACAAGCGTATAGTATCTATGTTTACTATAATAATCTATATATCGGCAAAATTATTGGGGAGGGGGGCACGCCCCCCCCCCCCCTCGGTTCCTACGGCCATGTTTACTGAGCAGACTTCTACATTTATCTGTAGATGGCCGTGATTATACTCGGACAAGATAATACAAAGATACATATTCATTTTATTTGTTATAAATTCAATTTTCAGAACTTGATATTCAAGTAATATGCTGTTATAATTTTTATTAAACAGACAAATGAGAGAGAGAGAGAGAGAGAGAGAGAGAGAGAGAGAAAGTAAGAGAGAGAGAAATATTCCGTTTTAGCCAGCCCCCCCCCCTCCCATTTCAGGCTTCACTACATGTTTGTATCTATATTAAACAAAAACCCTGAAATTTTTTTCTAAGTATATCAGACAGTGAAAGTAACTTTTTTTTTATCAACAAATCAAATCCATTTGTTTGACAGTCATACTCGTTTTTATTTTCCTGCTTCAAGTTCACACGAAGTCCACATGCTTGTCCTGTCAATCAAAATCATTCGACACTGTGCAGGTGTGAAAGTTTCGTCACATCGAAGACGAAGTGCGAGTATTTCCAACAAGTTATAACATTTATTTTTATCAGTTCTAGATTTGATTCCAACATTTAAATAGTAATTGAATAAAATACATAGGGCATTAACACTTGAATTTGAAACATACTCTCTGCCATTTCCAAATACCACCGCCGACACAAGTGTATTTTGAACTACTATTGTTTTGTGACTTTTTTAGATGCCTGTTTGTTTTGAGACTGAAATTCCTGTTCTAAAAAAGACCTTAACTTTTTTTAAAAATGTAAATTAAAATATTCTGGAAATACAATACTGACTAAGTAACCGATTTAGGGGGAAAAGGGGGGGAGGTATTAATCATATCGAATGACAAACATATAAAGTTACGGTGAAGAAAGATTTTTTTTCTCTATAACTATAGACTTTACATATTATAGTAGAGAAAATTCAGTAGTGCATTACATTTTAAATAAATATTTCCTTTAACCACACCATCAATTTAATTTGCTGCAAAGATAATAAATTAATACGATATCCGCAGTACTATGTATAACTCTCAGAACTAGTTCTATCATATTTTCTGTAGTAATTGAAAAAAAAAGTGTTATAAATAAATATTTTCGTAATTTTGCTGCGTAATTATTTGACTTGGATAATTATATCTCCATTAACGATTTGTCGTCTTTAACAAAACAACAAAATGTTGCAGTGCTTGAAGTATTTGCACATTGACCTTAGTTAAATTTAATATTTCAGCATCGTTCTACATAGGTACAGAATGTGCTTATAACAACATTTATTTTTCAGAGTAATTTAATAAATAACCTAACAGCTAAGTTAGAATAATAAAAATATATATCGTAGATATTTTCCCCCATGAAATAATTATTCTTCAAACACGATATGTAAGTTATCAAATTAAAAAAACCTGTAACTCCTAACCTACAAAAAGATAAGTCCTTTCACTTCGGAGTTCCGAATGACAATGAAAACTGAATGATAGGTGAACGCTGAACGCAAGGTGAACGCAAAGTGAACAGAACGAAGAGCGAACGCTGAACGCTTTGTGAACGGTGAACGCGAGCGCACGGTGAATGGTGAACGCAAATCTGTGAACGGAGAGCGAACGGTGAACGAACGGTGAATGCACGCTGAACAAACGGTGAGCGAACGGTGAGCGAACGGAAAAATGGGAAAGTAGAACGTTTCAGTGACTGTAACTAGGTAGTGGATTTCTTGTGTACAAAGATACAAAATGCCAATCAATGTTACTGAACACCTAGCTGCAACAGTTGCAAAACTCAGCTTGAAGTGCCTGAAGTAAACTAGCTGTGATGGGAATTAAAGAAGAAGAATAAGCCCTTGGGAAGCATCTGTGATTGTTCCTGTTATGGTTGGCACTTAAATTAGTATCTATGACACTGTATTTTCTTTATTGTAGTGCTGGGACAGAGAATGAGGCTATATGTAAATGTGGCTACCTCAGGTCTGCCCACATGTCCTTACTGTCCTCCCCAGGGTCCTCGGGACTCGAGGAATGGAGGGTAGAGACCAACACCAGGGCAGTCAGAACCAATGCCTTTGGCACTGTTGAGTTCCTTGGTTTTGGAGAAAATGAGAGAAATGTAAGTAAAATGGAAATAATATTCATTTGAAGAGACATGACTATACTTCTAATTGATTAACAAGATTTTGTTTTAGGACTAATTGTTATAAACTGGTTATTTATGTACATGCATGCAGTCTCAAGTTTCTTTGAAATATTATATATATATATATCATTATTTACATATGTTTACTTTATATCATGATTACTTAACTTAACAAAACTATTTCCCGGAGGTAGGAAACATCAATAAGCTGGGGGCAATGTGCTGTTGAATACAGTGGGAGCTCGTTCACTCTAGAATTTTAAAGGACAAGTGCGAAAGAAGTCCTGGTGAAATATTATTTTGCTAAATGTTTGGTGCACCATGCTGATAAAATTTAGGAGGTGCTAGTTGTATTTGTGTTACATTTCTGTAGATATTCTTTTGTTATACTTTCATGTTAAATAGTCAAATTTGATTGATTTGAAAATCAACATTCAATTTTGTAAAAAAGTACTGTTGCCCTACCATGAGCATAAACCACGCCCTCTGGGTAACTTTTTTGTACCTTTTGTACCTTGCATTGCATGACGGCAGGTAACAGTGTAAAAATTGTTAATTGTTAGAATGTCTGCACATACAGTTCACTGTGGCTTTTTCTTATATGTCAAGTAAATGCACTCTAAATACATTCAGTGTAACAAAAAAAATATTACCAGGTACATGTTTATTTAGGGTAATGTGAAATTGTTATCCCTTGAATACCATTGCTGACCTTGGCTTTGCCTCAGTCAGCAATGGTTTTTGCGGGATATCAATTTCACGTTACCCTTAGTAACATGTAATATTTTTATAATAATTAAAACTCTTCTAATAATAATTAAATTTAACCGTTTCTTTTTGATAAACATTACTTTTGCGTCAAGATTCAGAAGTCTAAACATTCTGAATAAGATGACTTACTTCTGAAGTGCAACCATTGGCAATACATTGTACTTTCAGCATAATCATTGTTTCACTGTCACTTCACTAGCATACAAACAATATGTTATGCCCCGAAAATTACATTTTTAGAGCTGTCTTGACTTTATTGCAAAAGATTGATAGTAATCGCGATACTAAGTAATGTCACTTTCTTCAACACCAGTAAAAATTCTAAAATAGCTATTGTGTTTCACTACAAACAGACCTTTTTAACATTTATTTTAAAAAAGTGAAGATGTACAAAAAATGATAGATATTAATTACCTTACAATTAATCACCTGACAGTATGTACGTGTGGACGTTAACACCAAGATGGAAGACATGATGGAGCTAATGATGGACGTGTGGGGTCTGGAGAAACCCAACCTTCTAATCTCAGTCACGGGTGGTGCCAAAAACTTTACCATGAAACAGAAAATCAAAGAGGAGTTCCGCCGTGGTCTCATGAAGGTGGCACGCAGTACAGGTCTGTAGTTTTGTGTGTAGTTGTTCACAGGTGTGAGTACATATGAGTAAATTACAGTTGAACTTCAGTATCTTGAACACCTCAAATACATGTACCATGGATATGTCGAAGTGAATTGGAAGTCAAAACCCCTTATTCTTGATGTATTTTATCCTGCCTGGATATCTTGAATCCTCGGATATCTCGAAGTTTTTTCTCGGACCCATCAAGTTTGAGATAACAAGGTTTGACTGTAATCTTAATAGGAGCAGAGGGTCTGGAAAACTTGAAACAGAAACTTTGATAATGATGGGGACTGCTGATTTGTAATTTGAAATAGAAGTAATAGTTAACATGTGTAGAAGCCTATATATACATGTATAGCTAGATATTTAACATGGTTGCCTGTGATACCTGAAAACTGGTATTTCAAACTTAATGGGGCCAAGAAAATAACTTGTAGGTATTGGAGGATTTAAGATATTAACTGGTTAAAATGCAAAAAGAAAAAGTTGTTGGAATTTCTAAACTCACTTTGACATATCCATGGTATTTGAGATATCAGTGTTTAAGATACTGAATTCAACTGTATATGTAAAGAATAATCAGTACTCAGACCTAAGTTCATATGGCGTAAAGTTATAAACTTAGCATTATTCATATTATCCTTTTTGGTCTTGCAACAAGTGAAAGTACATATACTTCGAATTGCTTGACAATATAGATTAAAAATAGTTTATGACAGCAAATTTAAATCTGAAGTCAGAGAATAAATTCAAAGAAGAATATGCTGATTTTGTTGTGACAGGAATTTAGACTGTACATAGCATTGTTATTATTAAGCTGAGCTGTCACAGTTCTTTCAGTCTATAGTTCTGTTTTCTAGGTGCCTGGATCATTACGGGAGGGACAAATGCAGGGGTGATGAAGCATGTTGGGGAAGCAGTCAGAGACTATGGGCTTGTGTCTGCCTCTACTAATCCCATCATTGTCATAGGAGTGGCAACTTGGGGCTGCATACAAAACAAGGAGGACCTCATTGATCCTGAGGTAACCTCCCCCTTCTTTTTTCTAAAATCAAAATGGGAAAAGAATCCAAGCTATATGAACTGCAGAAGATTTAGCACAAATGTGTTGACATTCTTTTTTCAATTGTTCTTCAATTCTAGAGATTTTTTTTAATGATTTTAAAAACTTTTATCCAAAGTTTGATGTGAATGACAGTTTACTGTAAGATACAATTATTTATTCTATCAGTGTCGAGGAAAGTGGCCCGCTTCATACAGACTTGGCAAGAAACAGAGACCAAAGGAAAGTTTCCTGGACCCAAATCACACTCACTTTGTGTTGGTTGACAATGGAACTCAGCATCAGTTCGGAGTGGAGATTCCATTCAGAGCCCGAATGGAGAACTCCATAGCAAACATGAAAACCAACACTGGCAAAAGTGAGATTGAGAGATGGTTACTTGTATTTTTAGATACAGTTTCTGTTGATTTACATGTAAAAATTTTTTTTTAATGATTTAAGATATTTTAAATAAAGTAACTGTAAAAAGGTAAATGTACTTTGAATTAGGTTGTGATGATACTAGTATTTACTAGATAATGTATTTAAAGCCAGCTTTAAGGCAATGCTGTGAGGCTGTAGATTACATTTAAATATTGAAATCGTTTTTTTTTTATTTATTAAAATGAGGAAGTGAGCATTATACAAATGTTAAAAAAGAACAAACAAACAAAAAACAAAAAAAGGCCACCTCTTTGTTCTTTTTCTGACTGAGCTTTTTAAATCAACTAAGTTCTATCATGGCAAAATACTGTGAAATCGCTAATTTCCAATGGGGGGGGGGGATAGGTAATTTTTGTTGCTTAAAGAGACCCACAAGTCCACCACAAAATGTTAAAATTTTCTATCTACAGTATTATGTTTGCTTACCAGCCTGGAAATCAAATCCCCAGGAACCATAATTTTTTTCCTCAAACCACAAAAATTTTACCCCTTGAAGTGTTTTTAGAGAAGTTAAAAATTTATTATTCATTGGACTTTTAATTTAGATTGAATGTTTGATTGTACAAATCGTAATATGCAAATTTCAAGATTGTAACTCTCCAACGATAGAGGCACAAAAAGTATCCATATCAGCATGGAAGTGGAACAGCTAGGTTGTTGATATATACAAATCTGCATAAATGAACAATGGCTGGGTTTTTAAAAGTCATTTAATGTGATAGAAAAAAAAAAACTTAGAAAACCTTTCATAGTCTTTTTGAAAAAGACGCTTCCTTAATTGTACAAACTTTTCTAAAAAGTTAGTGGGCTCCTTCAAATTATTATAAGAGGAAGAGTCGGTGTGTCATTCAGAATGCAGACGTGCAATGATCAGATGTGCATGCAGTTTTTATTAGAGATCCATATCTTGTCCCTCCTCTGATAAGTCTTATTCACTGTGATATTTTCTTTTGTTCCGATTTTTTTCATAGAAAAAAATAACGCCTTTTAAATTTGGTAATTTTTGAGTTGAAGAGTTCATCCCGACAATCAGTTATGATGGACGGGAAAATTGATGATGTAACATATCTAATATAAATTACTGTCCCACCTGCCAGTTTGCATGGAAACAAAACCCCCCTCTGTAAAGAAAGAGTGCACCAAGGGAGATAATTTCGAAACCTGTGTATTGTCCTATCCATTTTTATGCCCCGCCATGAATATGGCAGGGGCATATAGTGTTTGTCATGTCCGTCTTCCGTCTGTTCTTCCATCACACTTTGCGTTTAGCTCTGTTCAAAGCTCAGTTTCAAAGAAACTATCCAAGATATTTTTATCAAACTTCATATGCTGATAGATATTGATGAGAGCTATGCAACTACATCAACATTTTTTGACCTTGACCTTTCCTCTGACCTTGACCATTCAAGATAGAGTAATCAAACTTCATCTGTTGATACATACTGATGTAAGCTATTCAACTGCATCAACATTTTTTGACCTTGACCTTTCTTTTGACCTTGACCTCACTTTTCTTAAATTAGTGTTTAGCTCAGTTTTAAAGATACCATTGAAGATAGTGTAATCAAACTTCATATATTGATACATACTGATGTATGCTTTTCATCTGCATCAACATTTTTTGACCTTGACCTTTCCTTTGACCTTGACCTCACTTTTCTTAAATTAGTGTTTAGCTCAGTTTTAAAGACCATTCAAGATAGTGTTATCAAACTTCACATGCTGATATATACTGATGAGAGCTATTCAACTGCATCAACATTTTTTGACCTTGACCTTTCCTTTGACCTTGACCTCACTTTTCTTAAATTATTGTAAAACTTCATATGTTGATATATACTGATGAGAGTTATTCAACTGCATCAATATTTTTTGACCTTGCCTTTCCTTTGACCTTGACCTCACTTTTCTTAAATTAGTGTTTAGCTCAGTTTTAAAGACCATTCAAGATAGTGTTATCAAACTTCACATGCTGATATATACTGATGAGAGCTATTCAACTGCATCAACATTTTTTGACCTTGACCTTTCCTTTGACCTTGACCTCACTTTTCTTAAATTATTGTAAATCTTCATATGCTGATACGTGCTGATGAGAGCTATTCAACTGCATCAATATTTTTTGACCTTGACCTTTCCTTTGACCTCACTTTTCTTAAATTAGTGTTAAGCTCAGTTTTAAAGAAACCATTCATAATATTTTTATCAAACTTTATATGCTAATACATATACTGATGTAACCTTTTCAACTGCATCAAGAATTTTTGACCTTGACCTTTCCTTTGACCTTGACCTCATTTTCTTAAATTAGTGTCAAACTTCATATGCTGATACATACTGATGTAAGCTATTCAACTGCATCAATATTTTTTCACCTTGACCTTTCCTTTGACCTTGACCTCACTTTTCTCACTTTGTGTTAAAATGTTGCATTACTAATATACCCTCGGCGGGGCATATTTCTAGTCTTGAAACAAGTTTTGGTATCAAGTCATGACTGTTAAAAATGTGTTTCATTGTTTGATAATTATTATGTTGTCAGACATTGTGTAATGCTTTGTTTAATTTGGTCAGACTGTGCTTTGAGGCAGTTGAACCTTGTGCTATATCTGTGTATGTGACCTCATTGACATTAATGAAGTAATGTACATTTGCATCCGCACAAATTAAAACGTATGAAATAAAACGTAAACCCAGATTTTAATACTCTTAGCTTATGAGAATTTCTAAAAAATTTTATTTGGTTAAACTTTAAAAGAAGTTTTTATAAGTATAATCTCTCTGCCATTTCATTTTATTAAGAGATCTTTAGTAATAACCTAAATGAGGGAGGAATCAAAAGTTTCTGACATTTTACTTGACACATACTGGTACATTGAACTGTAATGCCTTTACCGGTAATTATGCCTCCTGTAAAACAAAGTTTGAGGGGGCCGATACTGATATAGAATTCCTCTTGTTAGTCTGTCTGTGTGTTGTCCATAACTTTGCAACAGAGACACAATGGAAGCTCATACTTGCTACAGAGGTTTTCTTATGAGCTAAAGATATATGTTGTGATCTTGACTCTAGGTCAATTGGGGAAGTTTAAGGTCACTGGCAGAAAAAAATTGAAATGATGTGTGTCATGTCCATAGCTCTCTAGCAAAAAAATATTGAAAGTTGATACTTCACACAAAAATTAGTCATGAGATGAGGGTGTGTCTTGACCTTGAATCAAGGTCATTTTGGCAAGATCACTTTTAGAAAAAATGTATAATTCCTGTCATGGTCATATCTTGCAATTGTGAAACATTGGAAACTCCTTCTTGGCACAAAGATTCCATACATGTATAAACTAAGGCTGTATTAGGACCTTTACCAAGGTCATTTGGGGAAGTTCAAGGTCACCAGCAGAAAAGTGTATAATCTGAGTCAGGTTCATAAGACTTATTGTAAGAAAGAAACAGATGCAGCACTTCTAAAAAAAATCCACTGGGGGATATAATTATGTGAGCTAGCTCATAGTGTGCATCAATCAAATTAATAATCCTCATACTGTATTAGAAAATAGTACATGCTGATATAAATTTTACAGTGACTAGATAGATGAATAGGTACTTTGCATGAGTGATTATATGCAAGAGGCAAAAAAATACAAAGTAATACCTTGACTGTGTTCAGAAAATCCATTAAGAACTTAATGAATCACAATTTTAAATTTCTGCATTATAAGTGACCTTGATTTTGGTAGTTTCTTTTCGAGTGAAATGATTTATTGTCTTGTTTGTATTGTTTAGATGCCTCTGTATATGTCCCTGTGGTACTGCTAGTGTTAGAAGGTGGTCCAGGTACATTGGAAACGGCCCACCAAGCTGTAGCCAATAACACACCTATTGTCATAGTTCAGGTATTGTAAGATTTTAATATGATATTCAATGTACATTAATTAATATTCTTTAACTACATGTAATTTTTTGGAGTTTAGGTGTATGTGTTATTTCAAAAAAGTACATTACTAATGCTGTCATACATTTTATGATATTACTTTAAATTAGTTTAAGTACTTCATCTTTTCAAGTACATGTAGTTTTAATCTTCAAACATACACATCCACTACTCTTTCATTTTATGAAGGAATAAGATTGAGTTATGTCTCTTTGGTTACACATATATGGAGCTCTTAGTATAAGATTGCAATTGCATAATAATTATTTAATCAACATTGTGAATAATTGGAGAGTTTACTTCCTTTGTATAGGGTTCTGGAAGAGCAGCAGACATTTTAGCTTTTGCTTACCAGAATTCCTCAGGAGAGGAAATAGAAGCTACAGATCAAGAGGGCAAAACAAAGAAGATGTAAGGGAACTTGTTCCAGAAAGTGTGACTGCATTTTTATATTTTTCATACCTTAATTATGCCAGTTTTGAGAATCTTTTTTGTCAAAATGATGCAAAGATATCCATGGATATTAAGACTGAACTACTGATAATTTTCTTTTATAACTTTGTAAAATAACATCCAATTATAGAACATTGATTTTTTTTTATCCTGAGATATTGTATTATAGAACACAGACAATATTTGATGCCTCGGTAGAAGCAGAAATAAGAAATCAGGTGGAAGAGAATTTTGGAAAGAAGAATCTTGTCAGTTACTGTGAGATGGTGAAGGAGACCCTGAAAAATCGAGACCTGATCACGGTGTTTGAGTTTAGTATTGGAGGTCGAGGGTCATCTAAAGACATTGATAAGGCCATTCTCCAGGCACTACTCAGGGGTGAGATCATAATCATGCTTGAGGTCAAGGACAGAGAAAGAAGTTTAAGATTTTATGATAACTATGTTGTTGACATCAATTTCTTCTTCTCTGATTATGCACATGTATTTTGTTACATGTAAGTCAAATGGTTTTAATGCATATCGAATTCTCTGCTGATTTAAATTTCAAGAAATATCAGATTGTTTTAATATTAAATTTTTCAAAATGGAATAATAAATTTTATTTTTAAACTTTTTTTTTTACAGCAAATAAGGATCAGATCTTTGACCAGTTAAAGTTAGCTTTAGCCTGGAACAGAATAGATATTGCCAAAAGTGAAATCTTTACGGATGACCGTTTCATTCAGGTACGTAGAATATTTATTGATCGGTATTATTTTGCATTTTATTGGCCATACAATGTTGTAATGATTAAGACCAGAGAAACTATTTCAGGAAGGGATGGTTGGGGGCTGAATTTTTAGCTCACCTGAGCTGAAAGCTCAAGTGAGCTTTTCTGATCACCCGTTGTCCGTCGTCCGTCCGTCCGTCTGTCTGTCCGTCCGTCCGTCTGTAAACTTTTCACATTTTCAACTTCTTCTCAAGAACCACTGGGCCAATTTTAACCAAACTTGGTACAAAGCATCCTTGGGTGAAGGGGAGTTTAAATTGTTAAAATAAAGGGCCAAGCCCCCTTCCAAGGGGAGATAATCAAGAAAAGACAAAAATAGGGTGGGGTCATTAAAAAATCTTCTTCTCAAGAACCACTGGGCCAGAAAAGCTGAAACTTATGTGAAAGCATCCTGGGGTAGTGTAGATTCTAAATTGTTAAAATCATGACCCCCGGGAGTAGGGCGGGGCCACAATAGGGAATCCAAGTTTTACATTGAAAAATGTAGAAAAAATCTTTAAAAATCTTGTTCTCAAGAACCACTGGGCCAGAAAAGCTGAAACTTATGTGAAAGCATCCTGGGGTAGTGTAGATTCTAAATTGTAAAAATCATGACCCCCGGGGGTAGGGCGGGGCCACAATAGGGAATCCAAGTTTTACATTGAAATATGTAGAAAAAATCTTTAAAAATCTTGTTCTCAAGAACCACTGGGCCAGAAAAGCTGAAACTTATGTTGAAGCATCCTTGGGTAGTGTAGATTCTAAATTGTTCAAATCATGACCCCCGGGGGTAGGGCAGGGCCACAATAGGGAATCCAAGTTTTACATTGAAATATGTAGAAAAAATCTTTAAAAATCTTGTTCTCAAGAACCACTGGGCCAGAAAAGCTGAAACTTATGTTGAAGCATCCTGGGGTAGTGTAGATTCTAAATTGTTAAAATCATGACCCCCGGGGGTAGGGCGGGGCCACAATAGGGAATCCAAGTTTTACATTGAAATATGTAGAAAAATCTTTAAAAATCTTGTTCTCAAGAACCACTGGGCCAGAAAAGCTGAAACTTATGTGAAAGCATCCTGGGGTAGTGTAGATTCTAAATTGTAAAAATCATGACCCCTGGGGGTAGGGCGGGGCCACAACAGGGAATCCAAGTTTTACATTGAAATATGTAGAAAAAATCTTTAAAAATTTTCTTCTCAAGAACCACTGGGCCAGAAAAGCTGAAACTTATGTGGAAGCATCCTGGGGTAGTGTAGATTCTAAATTGTTCAAATCATGACCCCTGGGGTAGGGCGGGGCCACAATAGGTATTACAAGGGGGAAATCGGGTGAAAAACAGCAAGGCCAAAGTTACTCAGGTGAGCGTTGTGGCCCATGGGCCTCTCGTTTATTTTTAGGGTGGTTGAAGTAATCAGACCCTTAATTATTCCAGCCTCACCCAAACAAACCCATGCATAAATATACACATTTATTTCTGTCAGTCTTTATGAAAAAAACCTAATGTGCTATAATTTTTAATCATAGAACTATGATTTCAGTTAAAGGATGGTGTTAATCAGCGTAGATTTAAGAAATTGGTATGATGCATTATAAATTGCAATTTTGCTTGCGATTGACCAGGGCTTTAAAACTGCTTGTCTAGTTGCTGAAATGCTCTCAAATATTGTTATAGGATGGTTTTTTTCTCTCTCTCAGTGCTATGATAGTGGAGATATCTAGGTGCAGCAATATCCTTGTACATACTTTAGATGGAATTAATAAAGGGTGATGGATGGGTGGGTCAGGGTTTAGAGCTTGTATAACTTTAGTGTGCTAATTTATGATTACTAGCTCTCAAAATAATAGAGATATATTTGATAAATGAAAAAAATTATGGTGCCATTACTCATAGTTGCTGCACTTAATATTGTTCCTGGTAAAAGAAGTACAAAATATATAACTACTATAGGTGAAGCAGTTGCTAGGACTTCATGCATATTAGTTCCATTAGGATATTGATTTACAATACACCTACTTTCATTGCTACTATACTCTGTATACAGAGAGGTGAGAGAATGGCTTGCATCCAGTCAGAATATTTATCCTTCTAATATTCCATACTGCTTTTTTCTGCAAGAGGAAAATTTAAAACATGATAAAGGAGAAGTGGGAAACAAGAAGTTTAATTGAATAATATTTTATTATTTACAATAGATAATCTACATTAAATTCATAGTTTCAGACATGAGTGTTTTCCACTTACATTTTGTAGTTGTTTTAAAAGTGCATGAACAAATAAACAACCATGATGTTGAAGCACATACTGGTAAAACTTATTTGTACATGTACTTGTATTTGGTGAAAAAGTACTTGATTCGATATGCAAGAGCATGCTCTGTGTATGTACAATTTCTAAAACGAGGTAAATTATTGACAAACAAGTTGATGAAACAAGAATATCAGCAGTCTCGTTTAAAGTCATCATTTGGTAAGTTCTATGGTTGATACAATGACCTTGTCAGCAAATACAATTTATCATTGAGTCAATTGCTGACTGACTTTTTTCATACTAATTGTTAGGCCATTATTTACACACTGAATTGTCGACGGATTTTTCTGTTATTTCCCGATCATGACAAGGAGCACACGGTGGGTGTGACCGGTCGGCAGGGGATGCTCACTACTCCGTGGCACCTGATTCCACCTCTGATGTTTTGGAGGTCCATGTTTGCTCTGCACCTATTTTGTAATGTTTAATGGACTTTTGAGCTTGAATACTGTTCGTTATCTCCATATATTTCACATAAAAAAGGGGGGATCCTTTAGTGTAGACTTAGAATTTCTGAAAAAAAAAAGGTTATTAAGAATTGATTGATCACACATTTAAAGAACAATTGTCTTCTTCAGACTAACATGCTGTTTGAGATCATGCAATCTGCCTTAATTCTGAACCGGGTAGGCTTTGTAGAACTGTTGATGGACAATGGGGTCAACCTAAAAGACTTCCTAACCAAGAAAAGGCTTCTTAAGCTCTATAATCAGGTATGTCAAAATTAACATCCTAATTATCTTTCGTTAATTTTTTTTTTCTGAATTGACCTTTATTTTTGAATTTTAAGTTGTTCTTTTTTTTTTTTTTTTATCTTTTGTTTATTTGTTCTAGTTTCATTTCTTATTTCTTGCATGAAAAAAAATTGTTTTCTTTCCTACCTGTATTTTGCAACTAGAAATACTTATTTTCAAAATCTTTTTAAAACAAATAGATGTATGTCTATATGTTGTCATGATTTTAGAGAGACCTGTCTTTTTCTTCACACCACACTGTACAAGAGGTCAGAATATTGAGCATTCTCCATGTACTTTAACAATTAATTTTTTTTAAAATTTGTTGTCTATTAACCTTCTGCATTGTTCTTTAGAGAGTGAAGTCAGTAAATTTTTAGTACAAAGTATCAGTACAAGCTTTTTAAATTAAAAAAAAAAACCAAAAAACTAATGAAGCTTTTGCACTTTGCCAGCTTGCAAAACATGATGCACATTAGAGGGCTGCCTGTATAGTCAATTTGTATCTAACCAGCATTTAAAAAGTTGATAATTCTTTAACAACCTATGCTTTTTTTTTTGGTTGAATAAAATGATTATTTTAATCAAGCTTCATGGGTACATCTTTGACCTATTCTACCACAACTGTGCTTGGCATTTCATTTGCTCATTATGTTCTTGGTACTTTAGATATTTTTTTTCACTCATCTTTTTTCAGGTTTTATATCAGATTCCCCCCCCCCCCTAAAAAAAAGTTTACTTTTTTTGTCATTAGCACTTTAGTCTTTAAGAGCTGCAGGTAGAAAACCCATAAGACATAGAAAAGCCTCAATTTTCTCACTTTCAAAATATTTTACATAAAAGTAACAATAGACAGCATATTTAAACATTTTATCTACTTGAGCATGCTCCCACAGTAGTCAAATTAGCTAGTTTGTCAGTTCCAGTGTACAAAATTAACATTTTCATACCTGTAATAATTAACACTCACTGTGGGATACAAAATTTTATATAAAAGCTTGATGGAAAACTTATGCAACATTGAGTAGAAATCATATTTATTTTAATCTTATTTATTGCAATTATTTGCTAATATATGTGGTTAACATAAACATATATATAATGTGTGTTTGCTTTCATCTGGTAACAGCAAAGTTTTAATCCTGTATGCTTTTCCAAGCGAAGAATATCTTCAGACTGATTTTGTCTATTTTTTTTTTTAAATTCCTTATTTGTTTCCATAGGTAATCCACTACTGCTCATACAAAACCTGTGACATCATTAAACAGAATATGCTTGTTTTCATGAAACTTCACTGAAAATTCATATTTATCAATCATTGACTTCTATGAGCATCATTTGTAAGGTACAGTCCGGACAGAAAAAAATATATTCAGTTTTATTCACTTAACTCAAAGCTAAATGGATGCATTGAACTACAAGTAAATAATTGTTTTATTATATTGACAGTTTTTATAGGTATAATTTTTTATCACTTTACAATGATGATGAAAATTTGAAAGTCAGATAATACTGCTTGAAGTGGCAGTCTGTTAGGATTTCATAATTATAAAGTCAACGATCAGAACCAGGAAAAATATGATGACATAACGCAATGATTGCATACTAGTACTTATGTTTTCAGTATTAATTGAAAGTTTGCTTGTTGTGAGGTGCACATGATGTTTATTTTTGTTGATTTTGACATTCAGATTTCAGCTAATCAGAGTAGAGAAAAATCATCTGTTTATATAATATTTATGTATGAGGTAGTACGTTTAAGAAAATGAGAAAAACTGTTTTAATTTTTGCATTTAGGAATATTAGCATCGTAATATGTCAGTGCCCAGGTTGTATTAAGAAAAAATGTTTACTTTGGATTGAGGCAAATACAAACCTTATCATCTGACAAAAGCAGTTCTGTATGTGCAAAGGTTTTTTTTTCTTTTGGAGGGGGGGGGGGGGAGGGGGGGGGGAGAGAGGAGGGGAAGGGGGCATAAATAGTCAATCCTTCCACCTGTTCTTCACTTCAATTCTTTCAAGTCTATTAAAATCAGTGCATCAAGTCTGCAAAATATAAGTTAACTTTTTTTTGTACCATAACTGCAATAGAATACATGTATCGACATCATTGTTGCATATGTTCTTTTGTGTCATCTCTAAAGTTTTTAATTAATGAAGGGGAGGTAAGTGATACAGTAATACAAATACATGTACATACAGTTGAACTTCGATATCTCCAACATCAAAATATTGAATTCCGTGAATTAAGTTAAAGTGAACTTTTTGTATCTGCTTGCTGACTGCAAAAGCACATTTCAGTGTGACAAATTATTTTTTTTTTAATATTGGCATATTGCGATTAGTTAATCTAATTTTAAAAATGATTTGCATGACATTTTAAATGAAGAAGAGTTTATTGGCATGCATGCAAAATAAGATTTGAATTAGCTGCAAAAAAAAAGGGAAATACATTTGTATTTTCAGTATAACTCTCAATGCAAATACATGTATTTCAACACACATCAATTATATAAATCATTGTTTGAAGCTTGTTAAACAATAAAGCTCTGAACAACACATTTCATCCAGAGCTTCTAGGTATGAAGTGCTGTAGTACTAATTGAGTGCTATGTACAGTATTACAGGTATTAGCTGTGGACAAACCACATCAAGACATTCTTTGATTGTTTATTTCATTCTCATCAAATTCATGAGAACAAGTGAATCCTATCTGATGCAGACACATTAAAAAACTAAAAGCAGTAGGTTCCAATGATTCTTGGTTTTCAATAAAGTCATAACCTTGGATGAAAAATGAGAGGAAAAAGATGTTCATTTTACAAGTGCAGTTATATATTGATGTGCCTCTAAAAATTAAATGTCATAAGTTTTAAATTTCATTGAAAAATCTTCAAAAAAAAAAAAAAAAACCTATGTATATAAGAGCTGGCCTTACTATTTTATATGTTTTATTTTATAGATAAACAAGAATACTCAACTGTATCAGATGCTGGATAAAATTCGCCGAAAAAATGGAAATGTAAGAGAAGGAATCTAAATGATGATCAGAGCTTAAACTGAATATCTATTTATTATATAATGTTTTATTAATTGTGATAAAACATATAATAATGTATTGGCAAGATCATTGAACATCTGTAAGTATGAAAATACATGCAATTGAAAGAAGTTATCATAATTTTTCGCAGACATAATTTTAATTATTTGTGTGTAGTTGAAAGGCAAGTTTACTTACATAAACAGTCCTTAGGTTTTAGATTATGTAAGAAAAGTTTCCCATGTTTTGTAAAGAAACTTTTAACCAATGATAAAGCCTAAAATTGTTTTTTAATGTAAACAGGCGAAGTACATCTCCCTGGTGGATGTGGGTTGCTTGATTCAGGACCTCATTGGGGACTTTTACACCCCATGGTACCTACTGGACCCCAAAGTAAGGGACCTTGATGTAGAATACCTCCTTGATGGGGTGTCAGCAAAGAGTATGGGTATGCCAGGGATCAAGAAGGGGATTTTATCCATGGCAACAGGGAAAAAACAAGGTATACCTCCACTGTGAAATTATTGTTTGCTTGCAATTCATGTAGTTTTGAACTCACATATGTGGGCATTGTTATGTAAAATCTACAGACCTGGGATAGCGTCTATCCAAAATATCATTAGTTGTACAGAATTTTTTTTCCCATGTACCATTATCATGCACATGAGGTATAATTTCATTAAGGAAGCGATTGCAAGGCGTCATGTGATCGACTCATGTGATGTTTTAAAGAAGAAAGTTTACGGTAACCATTTCCGGAATAAGGGGCGTGATATGATTGCGCCAATGACAAAAAGTCCTCGTGGCAATATTTCATGAACGCAGAGAAAGAATAGGACGTGACGCTGCAGAGTGTTGGGGAGCATCGGCGCAGATTTTTTCATCTTCATGTTTTGTTTTGACGTCTAGCTTTTGTGTACTATATAGTTCTATATCAAATCTAGCAAAAAATAATTTTTAAAATAATAATTTTTGAAAATTCACGAGGACATGAACAAAGACGCTTCATGCCGGCATATTTTATGAAGCGCATAAGCACGACCCAAATTTATGTCATTCAGCAATTATTTTTTAAACTAAAGTTTCTAGTTTTGACGTCAAGTGTGGCATTATGACGTCACAATGGAGATATGTACTCATGTACCTAGTTCATGAGAAAATGATGTGAAGAATATGAGGAAAAATATTTGCAAATGTAAATATTAAATAGCAAATCACTATTTTTTGCCAAATAAGATATTAGGATTTTTATATATTTATTGCAGATACAAGTTCTATGAAATAACCCCTATTCATTCAATATGTTCAGACAAGTGTATCAAAGTATTTATTAATCTATACATACTGTTTTTTCTTAGTCTTTTTACAGACTATACATATTTAAGGTTCAGTAGCAAATCATCATACGAAAATTTATGAAACTTATAATATTTTAGGAAGGGGGGGGGGGGGGGGTATTGAAATGCATGTAACTTCAAAATGAATGTGATGACCCTACTTCATATTTTAGCTATAAGTCACTTATAATAAATTGTACAAAATATATTAGTTTTTGGAAAATTCATTGGGTAATTTTTTGTCAAGATGTTGAGAACTCCTCTTGAGGTGAAAATATTACTGCAAATTTACAATTAATACTCCCCAAAGCAGTGGTGGCATTACTACATCTATCAATATATTCCAATACAATTTTTATTTTCATTGAATATAAGGCATATTATTTAATATCTATTGGAATTTTTTATGTTGTTTCAATAATGTACCATAATGGGATATATAAAATTTCACCTCATAAATATCAAAATATTGAAAAACTGCAGTTACCATGGCAACCATATCATCCTTATAACCCTGATGACCTTGGTTGAAATTTTCATATTATGATACCATTAATGTCAGGCAAATTTTATGTAAAAATGAGAAAAATTCATTGAGCGGATTTTTTTCACGGACCCTTGCAATCGCTTCCTTAAAGTTATATATTACATGTAAATAATGACCCAAAGATGACAAGACAGACCTGGGTCACAACAGGTGTCAAACATGTTACACATAAGTATTATAATAAGGACATTTTTAGCTCACCTGAGCAGAAGGCTTAAGTGGGCTTTTCTGATCAAAATTTGTCCATTGTTGTCATCGTCTTTGTTGTCCCTGTATATATTAGTAATGTTATACATGTATGGGAAAACATGTAGGAAAAACTTGAAAAATCTTTTATCCATGAACAGTAAATCCTTGAGCAGTAAAATTTATATGGACACATGATCCACAGGAAATGTGTATTCAAGTTTTTTCAACTCATGACCCCAGGGGGTAGGGTGGGGCCACAATGTTCAGATTTACAACCATATATAGAAAGAATTGATTGTTTCAAACCTTCTTCCTAGTGAACATTCTCATGTAGCAAAGATTTGTTTGTCATAGTTAAGTCATAGTCATCTGGAGTGGGGATGATTTCATGAAAGACTCTCCAAAGGAATTTTTAGACTTCTCATAGTGCATTAGCAAATTTCAAGTTGTTAAATACACATGGATGCATGAGTATACAGGGGTATCCATGCATTCTGTAGAATGTTTTTATGAAAACAACTTTTCATCAGATATCAAGGGCTTTTATTTTTTATATACTGTTTACAGAGTTTTATATATATACATGCCATTTTGATTTCATTATCTCAATCAGATAGCAAATATTTAAGCAGTGCATGTTGCTATACGGTTTGTATTGAGAGTTTCTATATTTTTTTCAGTTATTATACATATATAGAAAGAAGTATTGATTAATTAAGATGATAAATTTCTAGTTGTAATGATTAAATGGATTCAATATCAACACAGTTAGGCATTCAATTCCATGCCCATATATGTTATTGGACACTGCATAGTGACAGTTCAAACTTTATTGCATTTTGTGGGTTGAGAACATCACATCATTATCTAACATCTGCCTACATTTTTTGGCTAATGGCTTTAAAATTGTCTGATGAGGGGTTCAGAATGTCCTATATACCTCCCAGTATCTGCCCACACCTCAGGGGTGAATGACGTCAATTCTCCCATGATTAAGAACAGAAGAATGTACTTTTTACCAGAGATTAACTATAACATTAAAGCTGAGGTTAATATCTATGGGCAGTAGTTTTTATTATTATAGTGTTTGTGATAATTGATAAATTGAAATTAAAGATCATGCTTGCACAGAAGTTTTAATATATTGTATTAAAAAGTGATAAATATCTGAAATACCCCTTACTTTGCAAGAAGATTGATTCCATAGCTGCAATGAAGCAAAATTAAATTACCTATAAAGATAATTACTTATGTCTATCACTTTATGAAATTAAAACAATTAACTGACAAGACTGGGAATTTCCTCTGATGTCTTGGTTTTTAGCTGATAATTTTTTCTTCTTTTTTAAGGCACCTTAATCACTTAGTTGACCTATTTCTATATGCATGCAATTGTATATCTTTATGCTTTGTGCATTAATATGCAACATTCATAAACTTTTGAACATTTCCAGCTTCTATGAAATGACTACACCAATCTTATCCAGTGTGGGCAAATGGAGCAAAAAACATCAAATTCATGCAATGTTTACAAAATCTTCTCTGGACATCTAGTAGAAAAAAAATCTTTGCATGATTAGCAAGCAGTTTTACATACATGCCAACTTTTGAAAATTCCCATGGGGGATTTTGCACGTGACGACAATTTTCAAAGCTTTAAATTCGCGACATTTTGTCGTGAAAATAAATGTTTATCCTTTTTTAGCTCACCTGAGCCGAAGGCTCAAGTGAGCTTTTCTGATCACTTTTTGTCCGTCGTCCGTCTGTCCGTCCGTCCGTCTGTCCGTCTGTCCATCTGTAAACTTTTCACATTTTCGACTTCTCCTCAAGAACCACTGGGCCAAATTCAACCAAACTTGCCACAAAGTATCCTTGGGTGAAGGGAATTCAAGTTTGTTCAAATGAAGGGCCACGCCCTCTTTCAAGGGGAGATAATTAGGAATTAGTGAAAAAATAATGGCATCATTTAAAAATCTTCTTCTCAAGAACCACTGGACCAGGAAAGATGAAACTTATGTGGAAACATCCTCAGGTGGTGTAGATTCAAGTTTGTTCAAATCATGACCCCCGGGGGTAGGGTGGGGCGACAATGGGGGATCAAAGTTCTACATAGATATATATAGGAAAATATCTTTAAAAATCTTCTTCTTAAGAACAGCAAAGCCATGATTGGTCATATTTATATGGAAACATCCTGAGGTGGTGTAGATTCAAGTTTGTTCAAATCATGACCCCCGGGGTTAGGGTGGGGCCACAATGGGGGATCAAAGTTCTACATAGACATATATAGGAAAATATCTTTAAAAATCTTCTTCTTAAGAACAGTAAAGCCATGATTGGTCATATTTAAATGGAAGCATTCTCAGGTAGTGTAGATTCAAGTTTGTTCAAATCAGGGCCCCCAGGGGTAGGGTGGGGGCACAATGGATGATCAAATTTTTACAAATGAATGTATGGGAAAAATTCTTCTGCTCAAGGATAGCAAAGCCATTTGTTATATTGATATGAAAGCATCATCAGGTAGTTTAAAATTTCCCCCCTCCCCCCTGTAAATTTTTCAATACTGAACTGATTTTTGCTTTTTTTCTCCTAGCCAATGTGCTCAGGTGAGCGATGTGGCCCATGGGCCTCTTGTTTTTTTAATTTATAATATCAATATCACTTGTTAATACAATTTAAGAATAAATAAAACAAACAAATTTTTTCCTTCCAAAATTCAAATATCTTTTGCTTAAATAGGTACCCCTCTCACTAAAGAAGTGATATCTGTTTAGTTTAACAACATTATGTTTGAAAAAGACACATAATTTAATGGTGAAAAATGTGAAAATGTACAAATTTCAGTTCAATAAATTTTTTTGCAAAGTTATAGAATTATATGAGGTTTTGTTACTGTACAGTTTCTGGGAAACATTTGTAAAATTCTATATTTACATTTTACACAATTCGAAAATTGTTATAATCATGATGAACTTCTGCATAATCAAGGCAGTGTCGTGTGGGTATTCCCTTGTCATATTACATGGGGGGGGGGGGGGGAATTCAGTGTACTTGAGGTATAAGACTTTGTTGTTTCATCTAAATTATTCATCTTATTTTAACCGGTAAACTTTTTTTTTATTACAAGCAGATAAAATCAGCAGCTGTGCTTTGTTGTTTTCTACTTTCGTTTTTAAAAAATGATCAACATGGATTAATTCCGATTTTGTTGTTAGTTTATCATATCACTGTATTTGATTTTTGTTTTTATTGAAATGATATTTAATTAACCCCTTAATCTATGTGTTTCACTGTGCATACCCCTTCTGACTGAAAAGTTTAATCCCCTAACTGCTCCAGGCTATATATGTTACCTGTACCTGGACAGCTGTGTGCGTTCAAGCGAGAAGTGATTTCCTGTGGCTAATTAACACCTCTGGATGTGTTAAATAAACAAAGAGACTAATCTGTGTGCATTGAATAAACAAGTCTGATACTCTAATCCCGATTGACAAAATTAATATTCCGGTAGGGAAACTCTGAAAATCGGAAATTTTAGGTTGAATTTTTTCAAATCGGGATTTAAGGGCAATTTTGCTTTCACGATCGGGAGAGCGGGATCAAAGGGTAAAATCGGGAGGATCCCGCCTAAATCGGGAAAGTTGGCATGTATGGTTTTAAAAGCTCTTTACCTAAATTGTGAAATTCATGGAACCTATTATCAAGGCTTGTGCCCCAGGGTGGAGCAAAGTTGATTATATATATATTGAAAATTTACATTACAAAAACATTGAGCAGGCAAAATGCATGTTTGCATAATTACAATGAGTTCATAACCTTCTACCATAATTGTAACACTCATGACTCCATGCAGGTCCCATATGTTAAGGTCCAAGGGTTGGACATAGTTAGTAATGTATTAGAATACATTACAACTTTGAAAATCTTATGGACATATAGGCACTCAACTGTTTGTGGAATTAACAAGTACTACCCTTTTTGTTTCATACCCCATGGGTTGGCGTAAGTTGATCATTTAAAACTCTTTGAAATTCTTTTTCTTTACTCATGAACATTTAGAAAGAAAAATGTTTCTTACCCGGTAAATATAATAAGTTAGCTAGCCCTCTCACCTGTAATTATAACATTAATAGCTCCTGTGTCCAGTGTTCTGGCCCCAGTATGGGGCTTAATTAATTTGTCATATATTGCAATTTTTTTTTATATATATTGTATGTTTGATATTAAATTTACTGAATTACCTTTATAAATGATTTTAAAAAATTATATCACGTGAATGTGGAGGTACAATTCCAGTTTAGATCCCATGTATTGTGTATGTTTTACTCAACAATTTAAAGCTGCTTTGGTCAAGAAACAACTTGCAAAAATAATTGCATTGTAGTAACCACTACATGGTATAAAATCCATGCACTATATCAAAATAATGTAGATCGAATGTTTAATAGCTGCTTATTATTGGATGAATACCATAGAATTAATAGCAACATAAGTTAAGCATTTATCAAGCATTGTGGTAGCCACTAATGTTACAGCCATCCTCTTTCAAATAAATCATGGATAGCAAAGTCTGACATAAATTTTGCCAAAATTTTCCACTTTTCAGAATCCATGGATAATGACCTTTTGACCTCAGATGAGTACCAGGTACCAGATTTTGATAATCCATTCCAGGAACTGTTCCTCTGGGCAGTGTTACTCAACAGACAGGAAATGGCCAAAATTTTATGGAAAGGAGGAAAAGTAAGCCTTTATTACATTTTCAACAGTGAAATACAGTAATTTATTTACTGAATAAAAGTGGTATTCTGACACAGTGTGAAAAGATATCAAAATGGTATTGTCACACAGTGTGAGAATATCAGAGGTGTGGCAAAACGTACGATTTTCCTTCCCTTCACGAAGAGTGTTTTTAAAAAAATCCATGGCCTGTTATAAGATAGAGTTAATGAGCCATCCTGACAGAGATTAATAGTTAATATACTGCCAAAAAAATCCATGTTTAAGTTTTTCAATCTTGCAATGGCTTAGCTATGATGTCTCATAGGAGTGAAACGGTTCACCGCGGTATCGATTCACCGCAGTATTTTTTCTCGGTTTGATACACGGTGCAAAATCTCAAATTTTCGGTTCGGTTCATTTTTCGGTCGGGATCTTTATTCAGTCGGGTTTGGCAAAAGGTAAAACACGTTAATCAGTATAAATAAGTATAGAAAACGTAAATTTTCGATGACTGATAGCTTATAAAATAATTTTTGACAGTGAAATGATTTTAATCAATTTCTTCTAGTCAATTTGCAAATAAAATTCGTAAAATATGTGACTAGATTTAGAAAAAGAAAGCATAAAACAACGTTGAATTTGTTTCCTTCTATCAAAATGTATCGTATCGAAAATAACTGAACCGAGACAAAATTATACAATACGTATCGAACCGTGAAGGAGGTGTATCGTTTCACCCCTAATGTCTCAACTGCTCAACTATGATGTCACAGCATATGACATTGTATTACGAAAAGACAGAGGCAAAGGGAAAATCTAAGAAAATGTAATAAACAGAAAATTCAATGTTTTGTAGATGAATATGGAATTTATTTCACTTGTGAGACAGGATTTTTTTATATTTTCACTCGTGCTTCGCACTCGTGAAAATATCAAAAAATCCTGTCCCACTCGTGAAATAAATTCCATATTCATCTACAAAACATTGAATATCCTCTATTTACTTAATGTATACAGTTGTTAATATTCCCCTGTTTACTGACCAAGGGCACCTGGTCCAGTGCATTTGTCTTTCATTCACTAGAGATGCAAGGAAAAAAATGTCATCATGCATCTTTGAAGGCACTCAGACTTTTCATAATAGATATCAAATTAAGTCTTCCATTATTGATGGATGTTGTAAATGATTTTTAGTTTTCTAGACAGTATTATATAAGAGCATGTCTGAAGTAATGTATGAATGTGTCTAGTTACATGTATATGGAAAAAGTGATTAGTGCTTTGATTCCATGGATGATTTATTTGTCATGTAAATACTGATGACTGATTCTGTGGATGGTTTGGTTGATACATTATACTGATTACTGACTGTGGTGTGTTTGTTATAGGATGCCACAGCTGCAGCACTTGTGGCGAGTGGAATGTTAAGTTCACTAGCCAGAGAGACAGATGACACAGAGTTAGCCAAAAAACTCAAAGCCAATTCACAGTAGGCTAGGTTTTTTTCTTCAATTGATATGACCTTGTAGCATCTTAGATGGAAATGATGTATAAGTACAAATGTACTAAAAATATCTCTATAAAGCAAAAAAAAAATTTTTTGTCAAGTTGATTACACTGTAACAATTAATTGATATATAATGTTATTTACTTGTAGGGAATTCTCAAATCTTGCCATAGCAGTGTTAAATGAATGTTATGATGTGGAAGAGAAAAAGGCTCAGAATCTATTGATTCGTGAGCTTGAACATTGGGGGGCAGCCACATGTGTATTATTAGCTGTGGAATCAAACAACAAAAAGTTCATTTCTCAAACAGCCTGCCAGACACTGCTAAACAATGTGTGGATGGGGCACCTGTCCCTAGACAACCAAATGCTACAGGTGGGATCTTGTTTCTGAATATCAGATGTTCTACATACTAGGGTATGTAGGAATTATCATTTGGTAAAAATATCTGACAGGAAGGTTGTTGTCCTTTATTAAAAGATCTTATAGACAGTCATATGGTTTTTGCAGATAATCAATTTAAACAAGTCATGTCTTTGAATTTACCAGATCTTTGTGGTTGTTTATACGGTCAATTTAGTCACTCTGGTGTCCTATTGCTATCTGTTATTATCCATTGTTGTGCATTTCCTAGACATTTGACCATTTTCAGCTTCTTATTTTAATTTGATGGACCAATTTCAACCAATATTTAGCATGTAGACCATTTGCATGGTTATAATGAGCAGCTAAACCTCTACCAAAATTATTAAATTCATGTTATGTGAATTCTAGGAGTCCAAATCAGGCCCCAGGAGGGGTTAAATTAGTCTTAAATTTATTGACAATTCTTTATACAGTGTACTTTAAAAATATTATGACTATGTGTACTTGAATACTCAGAAAGCAAACTGCATGATGGTTGTATTAAGGTATGGGTTTTGATAAGCTGATCATATAAATAAAGTGCACTTTATCTTTAAAAGTCTTCACTCCTGAATTTGTAGGAGACAAGTTGCATGAATATAGAGTTGTACCAAATTGTAACAATTATTCACATGAGTCCAGAGTTCATGTTATGGTGCTCAGGTGACTGTTAATGCTCATTGCCCTGTTGTTAATTGTTTTGGATTTAAGTGATCATGACTAAAAAAAAATAAGCTAATTATAGCATACATTGTGTATTTTTGTGCAATAACAAACTCTGTACAGTTATGGAAACATGTTTTATTTTTACACATGATTGACGTTTTTTTTCCAGTTGTTGTTGTGTGTGTTTGTACCCCCACTCATATTTCCTGTCATCAAATTCAAAGAGGAGATAGACACTGACGCAATGTCAGAGAAAAACTTCGAGCAGAGAGTAAGTGTGAAAATTGTGGAAAATTTCTGATAATTACTATCAAAAGCATGATAAACTTTAGTTGTAAAATATGGAATGAACTTTTCAGACACGTAATTTGCAATTTAAATTTCCATTGTTTGGGCGGAATTTTAATCATTTGGTTTGGTCAATGACAGGTAACACTTAAAGCTAAGAAGAGAAAACTTGAAAGGCAGAAGACATTGAACTCGATTCCTGTGAGAGAGGAAAAAGAGTAGGTTCTTAATGCATTGCAGTAATTTTATTAAAAGCAACATAAGGGGCCGGGAAATGGATTTTTAATTGTCATATCCTCACTATCAAAAAATGGGGTATAGAGGATTTTCTTTGCCAGTTTGCAAGTCTGTTTCATTTTTAATTTAAATTAATTTACATGTCTAGCCTAGCTCTTATGTATGTGGGGCATTTGAAAAGTTCTGATAATTATTCAATAAAATGTCAGATTTTGTTGTTTTCTTTTAATGATTGTTTCTGATATCATTGAAAAAATCAGGAAAATATGTACTCTTTTGTATTTAAAATTAGATTATTTATCAGATTGACTATCTACACCTTGATTCAACTTAATATCTTAAAATTCAAGGTCATTGTAACTGTTCAATCAAAAATTTTGGCTGGCCCATACCTCTGAAATCCAAAATGAGAAGATTTGCTTCAATTCTTAACCCAATTAATACATGTACAAACTGTGAAATCACTAATCTTCATGGGGGTTTAATTTAATCATAATTAGTATGAATCAGACCCACAAATTCATGTCTCCTATGAAATGTAAGATTTCAAATATTTGACAACAAAACACATTTTTCAACATCAAATTTAATCCCCATGAATCATTTTTGTCAAACGACAAAAATTTGACCCCATGAAAATATGTGATTTCACAGTAGTTGCTCTTTCATAGTTTAGTAATACTATACATATATTATCATAAATTTACGGCTGAAAAGCCTGATATTATGTGGTATACATTTGTATATGTCATTCTTTATGTACAGGTATATCTATAGCTTGAGCTAAAAGATCTTACAAAGATTTATATTGTCCTTGTAGAGAAAGTCATGTGGATTATGAATCAAAACCATTTGCTCTCAGCTTTTGGAAGAAGCTTTACTATTTTTACACAGCACCTGTTGTTATCTTTGCTCACAATGTGGTAAGGTGTTCTGTTTCTCCTATTTAGTCCACAGATTTATTTTTTGTATTTTAAAAGTAAAACATTCTCAAAATTTCTAAATCACATGAATTTACAGCCATGAATGGATGAAATGTGCATGATATATATTCATGCATGCACTTTAGAATATGCATATTTATTATTATAATAAATTAAATATGCATTATTTTATGAAAAGTTTGGAAAAAAGTGTGTCTTTAAAGAAATCTCTGATTGATTGTTATTGATATGGCCTTGTTCTGTTCCAGCTATCCTATGTGATTTTCTTGGGGTTGTACAGCTACATTCTTCTGGTGAAGTTTTCAGTAGAAGTCAGCATAGAAGAGATTATCCTTATTATCTGGGTGTTCAGTATATTCGCTGAGGAGGTTAGACAGGTATAACTGAAATAGGCCAAACTTTTTTTATTTTCTGTACATTGTGCAACATTAGGAGGCTCCTATGAGGAGATTTGTGGACACTGCAGCATTATTAGACATAATTGCAGCCACATACCCATACTATATGGCATATATGTCAGATCATTGTCTTTTACAATGTATATTTAACTGCAAGGGGCCAGTTTCTTTTGAGCTGTACTGTATGTCAGATTATGCTAACAATATATGCTTCAATATCCAATATATAAAAATTTTTAATCAATCAGACTAATAAATCTAAAAAAAAATCAGACATTGATTTATTCACAATCTAATTCTTTTAATCTTTTTTCAATGTAGTTCAATGATTTATAACATGTGATCTTAAATTCTTTAAGGTAGGTGAAGGGTCGTAATGATTTGAAGACTTGTGGGAGTACCGGTTATTTCTTACATTAATGCATAATTTTAAATGTATCCTGTGGAATCCATTTAATCTTGCAAGTACATGTACATGCCACCAGTGTGTAGTAGACTCGATGAGTGTGAATTAGATACCTTACAACTGTATCTTAGGATAATTGAACTTATATTGGTGAATATTAATTGGCAGGAGCTGGCTGTACAAATGCACAAGCTTGTGAGTGCATTTGTACAGCCAAAGAGTGCCAATATTCACCAATATAAGTTCATGCAAAAACTCCTTTTTTATATGGCTAAAACGTCTCCCATCGATTTATACTAATTATTTCAACTAAATAACAAATTGATAAGACTTTTCAGTATTGATATTTAAATTACTGTCTGTCCTATAAGCGTTCAATATCGCATCATTCCAATGACCCTCCCAAGCGTTATGAAATGCTTATTGAGGTTTTATTGAGGCTAATACCTACTACATTATTAATTAATTGATAATGCCAATTTTGCGTGAAAATGAACACATCTTATCGAGCTGCCACTACCTACCATAAATTTGCCTTTGAGAGGTTGACCAGACAACATTTCTTGTTTGCAATGGGGCGTTCAATTGTATTCAGAATGTTTCGTGCATACTGCATATATACATAATACACACTCAGCTTTCAATAAAATGCCAAGATTTTTGAACGCTAAAATTCTCTAGACTTTTAGTAGTTTTTTTTTTAATAGTCTATTTATTAGCTATATAATAAAAATGAATATTATACATTATTTAGTAAGTGCATGAATTAAAACATACAAGTCAACAAAATGAGAAGGGCACCAACTTTTGGAATGAAAATGTGTTTATTTCTTAGCTTCTTTACTAATAGAAAATGAATGAAAACAATGCATAAAAAATACTGAAACTGATTAGATAAGGAAGTCCAGTATTGTTCCTCTATAGGTTTCAGGTCAATGCCTTCAAAATTGGGGACTATGTAATGTAAGTTTTGTCAAAAAACATATTCCCTTGAAATCTTGATAATTAACAACTATTTGCACCTCTGTTACTTAACCTTGCACATGTATACATGTACACCAAATTCAGTTTGGATAATTTTCTTGTCAATTTGGAATAAATCAGTCACATATATATAGCATTCATACAGATTTGTGAATATTTCATGGTTTACAAAACAAGTATCAATGATACTTGACAAAAACTAAATGCGGAAAATGGAGAAAAGCCATTATTGGATTCCTTTAGGTACAAAAGGGTTGTCCCTTGTAAACTATAGATGTAAATGTGATTTGCATTCTTTCTCATTTGACTTGAATGAGAACTTAAGCAACATTTCGATAGGTGTAATCTATATACATTAAAAGGGCAGTGCAGAAATGAATGCTAGAAAAGTGTACATGTGTACAGGGTATATGAATGCTACCCAATTTATCCCCTTGTTTCACAGGACTTGATTACACTACTTCAATTAAGTCAAACCATTACATGTTTAACAGTTATTTGTAAAACTAGCTCCAAAGAAGATATACTGGTTTGAAAATTGTGTGCCTATTCAACCTTCCATCAATCCCTCACATATTTCTTTAGCATTTTTATGAGAGGCTAGTAAAGGTTTAATTCTGACTAAACCAAGTGTGATGTGTGGCACTGTTTCAGGTACATGTACTTTCTCTGAGTAGCAAATACAGTCTAGTCTGAAACTGAACTAATAATTTTTTTTTTGTGGTAAACAGTACAGTATAATACATGTATACATCACTGATTTGTGATATATATATATATATATATATATATATATATATATATATATATATATATATATATATATATATATATAGGTATATGAGGTTGTTTGTGGGCACCGACCTTCTAAACAGGTTTGTGGGATCTCGCATTTCTACATTGAATAGCTATGTCATATTCATGATTTAAGCATTATATATGGTCCTTATATAATATATAATATAATTTTTGAGATAAGATTAAAAATGTTGTATATCATTGTGGGTCATTATATTCATATATATAGAGCATTGTGGGATAAAGTATATACATCGCACAATGCTCTATTTATGAATATTATGACCCACAATATTATCACATGCTATATATATCATGTCCTGGATTTCACAATGTAAGACATAAGAATTAATATTTGATATAAATAATATATATATGTATATTTACATATGTACAAAATAGAATGAATCATTAAGAACAGTTTTGGGGGATTCAATATAAGATTTTAACTATTACTTTTCAAGTATTTTGGGGTCATATTGCATATTAATGACTCACTGCGATATACGATTTATGAGATCCTTAACAAGATATTTTAGGGATATCCTCTCTCTCTATATATCCCACAATATATATATATATCCCACAATCTCTTACATACACATATATATAGTGACAAAGATGATTAATCAAATAATGTCCATCCCACAATGTATTATTTATAATTTATTTATTCATTAAGCATTGTTAGATATTGAACGGCATATTTTATCTATACGCCTACTTATCCCAGATTTTCTTATATACATATATATAGTGAACCACATTTAAGCATTGAATTCTTATTTTTGAAAGTAATTATACAGGTATAATCACTGCATTGATTCCATAATGTCCAATCCGTAACGTATTTTTATTGATTCAACATATAGGATAGCAGACTAATATTATGAGATTCTACACTATATATTTTATGCAATCGCCTGTCCCACAATTCGTTATATACATGTATATATATAGTGACCCACAAACAGCTATGATCACTATACGTTTATAACATAATGACCTTCCATTCGTGAATTATTTATTTAAACAATAAAGAGCTTATCAACCTTATATTATGAGATTTTAAAGACAATATCTTACGTATATGCTTACATATCCAAAAGTTTATTATAGACATATTTATATCGTGACCCACAACCAGGTATAATCACTATATTTATCCCACAGTTCATTATATACATATATACAGTGACCCACAAACATGTATATTCACTATATTTATCCCACAATTCATTATATACATATATACAGGGACCCACAAACATGTATAATCACTATATTTATCCCACAATTCATTTTATACATATATACAGTGACCCACAAACTGTTACAAGCACTACATTTTTATATACATATATACAGTGACCAACAATCAGGTATAATCACGTGCAATATATTTATCCCACAATTCGTCATATCTATATATACAATGACCCACAAACAGGTATAATCACTTCATCTATCCCATAATTAAGTCCGTTATCATAATATATTTACTATTACCATAATTTATTTATTCAACATACAGCTTATCAGCCATATATTAGAAATTCTTAACAAGATATTTTATCCCTGCGCCTACATATCCCACAGTTGCTATATACGCATAGAAAGTGAAATAAAATAGGTATAATCATTACCTTAGCCCGGTAATGTCCATCTCATAATATTTTATTCATTTATTCAATATTATGACATTATTAAAAATATTATTTTATGCATAACACCTATACTTATCCAATAATTTCTTACATATACATGTAGTGACCAACAAACTGGTGCATTCATTAGACTGATCCCATAATGTTTATCGTATCTTACTAATATTTTATATATCAACATACAGCTAATTAGCCTTATATTATGACACTCTTGCATGTTTCACTTTTCTTGCAATCGCCTACTTTTCAAACAATTTCTCATATACATGTAAATCATGTATATAGTGACCCACAAACAGGTATTAGAATGTACTATACATTGATCCCATAATGTCCAACTCGAAAGTGTATTAATTATTTATTCATTATGCAACTTATCCGCCGAATTTATTTGATTCTTAACAAGATATTTTATCTAAATGCCTCCTTATCCCAGAATTTCTTTTAAATGTAATTATTATTTAACCAAAAACAAGTATAATCATCGCGTTTAAATCCCTTAATGGCCAATCCATAACGTATTTTGTTCTTTATTCAACATACAAGTTATCAAATTAATATTATGAGATTTTCACAATATATTTCATGTAATCGCCTCTTTATCCAACAATTCGTAATATACATATAGTGACCCACAAACTGGTATGATTGCTAAATTAAACACATAATGTCCATCCCAAAATGTATTATTTATTTCTTCAACAAAGAGCTGCTTATCAACCTTATATTATGAGATTTTTAACAAGATATATCTAATCTATATATATGCTTACGTATCCAATAGTTTTTATGCATATTTAAAAATAGTGAACCTCAGAGTGGCATATAATCACTTTATTTATCCCACAATATATTTATATATACATATGTACAGTGACCCACAAACATGCAGGTATAGTGACTATAGTTATCCCACAATTCGATATATACATATATACAGTGACCCACAAACAGGTAGAGTGAATATAGTTATCCCACAATTCGATATATACATTTATACAGTGACCCAGAAACCGGTATAATCACTTCATTCATCACATAATGTCCATCCCATACCATAATATCATTATAATATGATGATATTCTTATCATTGAAGAGAAAGGTTTAAAGCGTCAAGTGCCTG